TGCAACGAATCCTCCACGCGTTTTCTGAAGCGAGGGTCATCGAGTCGCGCATCTCGAGTTCCGAAGTACAAGGCCTTATCAGGTTCCGGGTTCAATGCGCCGGGGTGCTTCGGGATGGCAGAAGTGATTCCTGTAGAAGCTGGCGGTGAACTGATACCAACTGCATCGCCCCAGATCAAAAGACGGGCTTGTTCGATACCAAGTTGTGATGTGAGAATCTCCTCGCTGTGAGACTCCTCGTGTGTTCCATGGATGAGATTTATGGATTCGACGCAGTCGGCGAAAAGGTCAGCAAGTGTATAAGCATCGCTCAATGACTTTGCGCTGCTGTAGTGGTCCATGTTCGGTTACTGTCGTCCCTCTGATGTTGTTACTGAAACTCGCCTCTGTCCTGGTCTCCAGATTCTAAGGATGGTCGCGAAGCTGATTATCTTTGCAGGGTCACGAGGATTGCGCTATGACATCGGCGGCGTGAGAATCTTCAAATGTCGGTCGTTCAAGTTGTAGAAAGATGCGATGTTTCTCGAAGACAGTTCGATGGGTATATAAGCCTTTGGAACCCAGCCATCTTTCCAGACCATTGGGACGCTAACCCACCTCAACTGCTCGAGAAAACTTCCCACGCGGTCGTGGAAGGCCAGAGCTTCTCAGCCAAAACCTTACCACAATCATGTCTTGGCAAAGGGTCTCCTACAAAGCTGTCCTTCCAACCCTGTCTTTGATGTCAACATCACTTCTTACGACTTGAATTTGTTTCAACATCTTCATCTTGACATGAATCGGATATGGATTGCAGATTTCACATTGCTGTGAAGTAGAAGAAAATTAGCGGTGATGAGGCTGATTCTTCACTCTTTCTCGACTTCCTGACACAGCTCTATTGGAACAACGGACCACAAATTTATGTGCCGTAAACTCTCATTGCGAATCGCTATGGACGAGAACCTTCCAACTAGCAGCAGGATCGCATAAAAACTCGCAGCGCTTTCTTTCCCAGGACTGCCTTCTTTGCAGCAACTCTTTCAAGCTCCCTCTGCCGGATCTCAGACCCGATCGTTGGTTTTGTCAATCCGTTTCTGGGCCCCAACTCCATCATGGCGCCTCCTTTCATGGTTGCTGGCCATCCATTGGCAGTAGCTAAGACCACCCTTCCTCTCGTCTATCCCTTGGTAGACAATATCTGCTTCGCTTCAAGGTACCCGTATGGCACCCAATGACAATCGATCATCTTGCCCCTGGCGTCGGCATATCTGTAGACCTTACAGACGACGATGTGGTGCAAGTCTTGCTCGAGTACGATGGGGTCCAGGTCTGGAACGAACGAATGCACGATCAAAGGGTGTAGGACGATCGACGGGACGTCTGCGAGCGGGTCCATCCGCCTCCCCTCCGTCTGGAAGACCTGAACCAAGAGTCCAACCTGCTCCGAGATCAATGTTTCTGATGTCGACTGGTTCAACATCGGGAAAAATGTAGTCGTAGTCGATGCCTGCGAACGACTCAGACGGACCAAGATTTTGATCAACAAGTTCGGTACCTCTTTGTCTCGTCTCATCGATGATGGATGTGGGTGTTGTTGGCCGAGGTGATGCCATTGGATGCGCGTGGTCAAATTCCCAGGTGGCAGAGATTTTTGGAGTGTTGTCGAGCACTCCATCTGCGATTAAGGTTGGTTCGCCATTGTCGGTATTGTCACCAGGACGGATATCTGGCCATGCCTCTTCCGCTGCTCGTACTGTAAGTCTTGCAATATTCGTAGCAACGCTGCCAGTGCATTTTNTCAGCATACCTGAGTAACGTGGCCAACTCGAGATCCGCAGGACAATCGCCCTCGTGAGCAGTGGCTTTACAAACCGCACAAGTTCTGTTGTCACAGTGCAGGCAATATGCGACGGTCCTGTCGATCTCAGAAGGAGGTATGAATGTTGAGCATGTTGGGTCCGAGCAATAGGTTTTGTCGACTGTGTTGAACTCGACCCCTTTCTCTTCGAATGTCGTCTCGAGTTCAGGCTCCAGGAATCTTTTCGCATGCTCAAACGGAATCGACGCGTTGGCACAACAGCTGGGAGGGTAGAGCGACTCGTCTGATACTGCTGCGTTGAATAGCACGCTTAGACATGATCCACAGTAGCAGTGTCCGCAAGTCGTGAGAATGAGATCTTTGGGCAGAAAGTGATCTTCGCAGGCGGTACACTGGACCATTCTCTTCCCAGAGGCAGTCTCGGTGTATCTCACTCCTTCAACATCCAGAGGATCTAGTAAATCGGCGATGGTGTCTGTGTCTTGAGGGCCGACTGTCGCAACGGCAAGCTGAACCATCAAAGAATCCTAGTCACCCTTGTTCTTCAGTCTGACCATAACGGCTTCAAATTGAGCCTCCTCATCCGGAGCAGCGTCGACAATAGTGAGGACGGTAGAATAGCTCGAACGCGGGTTATCTGTTCTGTCTCTGATGATGGTCTGGAGATCGCCGAGCCAACGGATGCGAGTTGTGTGAAAGTCGTGTCCGAGTTCTGCAATCCTGAAGGCGAGATCGCGAGTCTCGCGATCATTCATACGGAAAGCCTCATGAATGAGCGCGTCCGTTGCTGAGTGTGCGTGTTTTGTGCGATGCAGCTTTGTGTAATTCGGTTGGTATGTTGGAAGGGGAAGAAAGTTGATGGAAAGAGAAGGAGAAGAAGGAGTCTTGGAGAATTGATGCGATAATTCAAACGTCTCGAAGTTATCACAATTGAAGACTCTGGCAAGTCCGAGGTTTCACTCGACGACTGTGCACAAAGTTGAGTGATTAGATTGATGCAGAAATTCTCTTGAACCGTACGGTAGGTAGCGTTGTGTGCTTTGTACTGACGTAGTTAGCATTAAAAACCGGCGATGCTCTCACTCGAGCTCAGCCTCTTTGTATGTGAAGGAAAGTGTGAACATACGCAAAGTGTGAATATACGCAAGATTTCCAGGCAATGCACACTACCTACTCTGTTTCGAATATCATTCGGCAACCGTGATCGACGTTGCAAATATTTCCTCACTCCCTACTCCTCACTTGCTCTGTTGGTTTATCTATACCTCGCTCTGTATCAACTCTCGATGGACACACGACCACTTTGACCAACCACTCACATGAGTAGAAGAAGCGCAGAGCTGGAATCCTTTGGTAATTTGGAACTCTTTGGTAGTTTGGCTTCACGTGACTCTACATCCTTTGGCAGTTCTGGCTCTTCCGATAGTTTGTTCCGAGCATGGTAGGTGAAGAAGGAGCGTGCGTTGATGGTCAAGGACAATAGTGAGGCTGAGCAAGCCTTCGGACGCAAGGGAAGCTTTTGAAGGAGATATCCTTGCATGATTTCAATGAGCGAGGTATTGATGGAAAAAGGTCAAAGACGATGAGATGTCGATTGATGTGGCAGATGTGGACCAGAGAGTTTGCGGCAGAGGGCCGAGTCACTCTGGCACGTGCGTGTGGGCACAACAAGCTACCTAGCAATGACATACCCTATCCCATCCTCGACATTCACATCAACACACAATGGCGCCCTCACTACAAATCTCGATCCCGACGACATCAGAGGTCGAGGAAGACGGCAAGAAATATACCCTGTACCATGTTCAACTCGCCCTCCCCATCCGCACTCACGAGTCTCGTAAACGCTACTCGGACTTCACCTCCCTCCACGACACGCTCGTCTCTCAAACCGGCGCTGCTCCTCCCAGTCCTCTACCGCCAAAGTCTTGGCTGCGGCGCACCGTCGACAATCCCGCTTTGACCGAACAACGACGTCGCGGCCTCGAAGCCTACGTGCGTGCAATTCTCGATGCCCAAGATGCACGCTGGCGCTCCTCGACCGTCTGGCGCCACTTCCTCGGTCTACCTAACGACGCCTCTCAAGCGAAGATCAAGCAGCAAAACGATAGCATCACCGATCCGGCAGCGTGGCTGGACTTGCACAGAGATGTGAAGAGCCAGTTGCACGATGCGCGCCAACTGCTCAAGAAACGAGACCAAGCAGCCACCGCCCAAGAACAACACGCCATCTCCGCGACCGCAAAAGCTGCTTTGGTGCGTGCGGCTACCGGGCTGGCGAGACTGGACGACGCACTTACCAAGATAGCCACAAAGACAAAAGATGAAGATGACGGGGGTTGGGGTCAGGCCTCCCGCCTGGGCGAAGGAGAAATTCGAAGGAGAAGAGATATGCTGGGCCTTGCGCGCGCAGAGACAGAATCACTAGAGACCAATCTCAAGTCTTTGGTCGTCAAACCGCAGGGAAGCATGTTGAGTGCTTCTTCGGGAGCTGCTGCTGCGACTGACAGCGACAAACGCGCGCTCTGGGGTGACACGCCTGCAACAAGGAGCTCTAGACGTGTGTTGGGTGGTCCTGCACAAGAAACAGACAAGACTCGCGAACTGGACAATAGCGGTGTGCTGCAATTGCAAAAACGCATCATGGGCGAGCAAGAGCAAGACGTGCTCGAAATCGGCAAAGCCGTGACGAGAATGAAGGAGATGGGCATCATGATCAACGAAGAGTTGGTCGTGCAAAACGAAATGTTGGGTATGCTAGACACGGACGTGGATCGCGTGCAAGGCAAGATCGACATTGCAAAGAAGAGGATCAAGAAGATCAACTAGATGGATGGATGATTTGATTGGGCTGCGGTGTTTCTTTTTTCTTTTGGTTAGTACATAGATACCCTTCTTGTTTCGTGTTCCTTTTGATTTGTGTACATCATTGACGTGTTTCACTTCTGTCTGCTCTTTTCTCTCAGCTCAACATATTTCTATGCTGTATGCATACACCTGCGATCCTCTCACGACTCTGGCACCACCAACAGGCTGTGATACACTCATTCTTCTCCATGACACACACCACAATGCACCTGCCACAGATTAAACGTAAAAAGTAAAGAAAGGAGAGTAATGCGATTTTTGTCCCAGTCTATCGATTCTACCAGCGAAAAGATGTGTCTATGCAAAAGGAAGGCTCTTGAGGGCATCACAATCAATCAGTGCGTCTTTGTTGCGCAATCTCTGCATCGACGACGGCATTTCCTCGTATCAGTCTTTGCCACCACATTGGCGGATCCAGNGGTCGCTGCCCATTGTGGTTTGCCGGATAAATGTCGTTGAAGAAGTAATAGACTNNGTGATCTCTTCGTCAGTATCATAATCTGAGAAGAAGGAAAAGAGGGATAAGCTTACCGTGTCCCACAGCAATACCACACAACTCATCTTTAGGCCAGTTCCCATGCATAACCACACTCAACCCAATCATGACCCAAGGCAAGAACGGCGCGCGAAAGATGAACAAGCCAAGGAAGGAAAGTTGGACGTCGGGGTGTTTGCGGCTCCAGATATAGACGAGAGTGCTGCTGAGTATGCTGCCCAAGAAAACAACTGATACCAGAGGAGCAAGTGCAAGCAGTACCGCAACGGCATAAGCCAGCATCCACGTAAAGTGCGCTTGCGATACAGCAGACTCCTCGAGCATACGGGCATATCGCTGGATAAAGAAAATGTGAAACAACAAGTTCAAGCTCAAAGGCCCAAAATAGATGAATGTGGTAAAGAGGCGCCAATACTGTNNTTTGCCTGCCGTCAGTATATCCCTTACTTTTACCATCGGTAAAGTGAGAAGAGAGAGAGAGAAACATACCTGCGAGCGAACAAACACGGCACGAAAGGAATAGAATAGTTGAAAGGGCGTCAACACATGACATTGGACCAGCAACCCAGTAACCACCGTGGCAGTCGTCCACCATCGCGTGCAAACCGGCATCTCAAAGAACCACTGTTCGAGCGGAAGAGCGCCCAGATCGCCTGCTCCACCCGCAGCTCCCAACATTGCTGCCATGTTCGCTAGGAAAGGTTGTGTGTGTATGTGAAAGTTAGGAGAATGTGAATGATGATGTTGTAAAGTTGTGTAGTTGTCCAAAGACCCTGGGGAACAAACGTAAGCTCCAACAATAGATGGACGTTACAAGCCGAGGCGGGAAGGAGTTTATGGGAGCTAGATGCGGGTATAAGATAAGATAGTGGTTAGCGCCATCGCAGTTGGCCGCATCTGGCACAACGCGACCGAGTCCATCTCTCTTTCTCCATAAACAACATACTCGTACCTGCCAGGCAACAAAGAACACAACACGCGCGCCCGACTCTTACACGAAACTATATTCAACACATCCGCGGCTGTCATCTCCACGCGACTCACCTCTACGCGACTGCCACCTCTACTTCACCACCTCTACACCTCTACAATCCGCCCTCTCACACACCTACCTACCTAGCCACAACTGCCCTTCCAATGGCCCCACGAACCTCCCTCGCCGCCCGCCCCGCCGGCAAAACAACAGCAGGAAAAGGCATCAAAACAAAAGCTCCGCGTCGCAGTTCCACAGGCGCAGTAAAGCAATCCCGTCGCTACAAACCCGGCACCGTCGCCCTCCGCGAAATCAGAAAGTACCAGCGCAGTACAGATCTGTTGATCTTGAAGTTGCCGTTTGCTAGATTGGTGAGATGCCACACCCTTTCCTTTGGAGTGAAAGCTTGAACGCGCAGGAAGGGAAATATAGGAATACGCCTAGCTGACATGCCCAACAGGNTCAGAGAAGTCTGCATCTCCATGGCACCCGCCGGCTCAGGCATCTACCGCTGGCAATCGCAAGCTATCATGGCACTCCAAGAAGCTGCCGAAGCCTTTNTGGTGCATCTCTTTGAAGACACGAACTTATGCGCCATTCACGCCAAGCGAGTCACCATTATGCAAAAAGACATTCAATTGGCGAGGAGGATCAGAGGTGCTTGGGGTGGTCTTGGGTAGATGTGCGACTCTTTACCTTATTTGTCTTTGCTTTGGTTGGGTTATGAGGGTGATGCAAGGAGTTTCTGGTGGTTGGGGTGGAAAGATTATTTGATTATCCTGAGCAGGAGTTTTTCTGTGTCGAAGAGACACTGGTGGAAAGGATCTTGCATGTAGCTGGAGTGTTTGATTCTTGCTTGCACCTCGAGGGGGTGCCTTTTTTTCGTTTCTTGAGGAACACACGATTCCACTTATTTCAAATGCATCGAGCAGAGCTTTGATCGCAGTGTCTTTTGCACAGCGTCGCTCTTCCTTCTCTTCTCTGCCTCTCTTTTCTCTCTTTCTTGCTTTCAAAAATTTTTCATCTTTGCCCTGGCTCTCATACCATGCGTGGAACTTTTGAGCAAGAAAAAAAAACATGCTGCGTTCCACACCAAAAGAATTTATAAAAAAAACAGGTTCAATGCTCAAAAAAACTTCTTCTACAAAGCTACAATTCAGAAGCGCATACACGCAGATGGAGAAATTACAACAGGGAAGCCAGTACAACAAAAGGAGATGCAAACACCCCAAACATTTTGGATTGACGATATGCCCAATATCCATCCACGACTACAACTCATATCCTCCGAAACCCACGGATCCCCTTTCATCAACGACAACACTCGAGGTAAATGACCAACCCTCAAGCGATGATCCTCAAAATGCCAAACCCACCACCATCAAAATCTAGATGTATACAAAAAGAAGGATAGAACAAGGAGATGAAAGAAGGGGCAGGCAAGCAAAGAAAAAGAAGAAAAAGAAAAAACCAAAGAATGGTGTAAAGAGGGTAGCGAATGGATGTTGTTGTTCTTCTCACAGGAAGTAGAGTAATAATACAGGGGTATCAGATCAAGGAGAAAGAGCTTGATGGGAAGAACGACTACCACCAAGGAGTATTGTTGTTGTTGTTGCTTGCAAGCAAAAAGTTTGTAGAGATGAGATGGAAACCAAACTGATAAACAAGCGGTGAGGAAGAAAAAGAGCGCAAAACAGCCGCTTGGGGGGTATTCGAGATGAACAATCCAGAACAAGGAAGAAACGCCAAAGTAAACCACCAAACCACCCTTTGGTGCCCACGAAAGAGAAGGGTATATACGGAAATCCGAATGCAATTGTGAGAAAAGAGGTCTGCACAAGGAAATCTCGCACAGTTATGGAGGGGGTGGCTTTTATGCAAACAGGCGTAAAGTCGTTAACATCGTTCGGTGCTGGAAGTGCGGCTAAGTGGTCCCTGCCATTCAGGCCACTGTGGCCTCCGTCTTCTTTCACTCGACGCCCGCTTGAAAATCTTTCTCGACCATGACCTTGACCCTTGTCTTATGGATTCCGCCCGCGGACCAGAGACTATAGGGCACGAGTCATCTTTTCGACTCNNCGCCTCGGCTGATGCCAAGGCAATGGGCGAATCCTTCTTGATTCGGACAAACAGCTTGGCGTCGCGGTAGCGCTCGCCGTAGGAATTGAAGAGGGGGAGGTGGCGGTAGCCTTGCTGAAGACTGGTAAGTTTTGCGGTGAAGGTGGCAAGGAGCGTGCTGTTAGACGAGGCATTGCGTCCGTCGGGTGAGTTCCAGACTGTGCACCGGACGAAAACCAGGCTGGGGTATTTTGTCTCGAGGGAGACTCTGAAGCAATCACCAAAGTTTGGATCGAATCCATTGCCTTCGATCAATCTAGTGCGTCTCTTGACAGAGGGTCCCATACCAGAAGGTTGGATATCAATACCGCCATCGACCTTGGCGTAGCCACGAGATTTGTTGTCCTCGGCGGTGTAGACTTCGAACTCGACATAGGGATTCATGCCTAGCTCAGGGTTATGATTTCGAGGTCGAGGAAGACGTTGGGCTGAGATGATGTCGACGCTGAATTGTACCAAGTGCTTTCCTCTCCTGTGAAATCTCAAGCTGTCGAGTATCGAACCGCTGGCTTGGTTTTGCTTGTTGTAACGCATCTCCTCAGGCTTGAGGACATATCCGGTTCGGTCTGTACCAGCAGCGAACATGGCTTCATTCATTTGCATGTGAATGTCATATGTTTGCCAATTCAGAGCTGCCATTTGTACTCCACGCTTCCAAGATTGAAGAGGATTGAAGTTTGAGGAGTCGATGCGAATAGCGGCAGGATAAACTCTCATAAGGTATCGAGAATTGTGCTTTTCGAGCTGGCTTTTGACCTCGGGATCTCTAGAGATACGTTCAAAGGTGTTCTCAGCAAAGGAATAAATGTGGTTGTATGTCCGGGCTTCTTGAGCAGAAAAGTCGGAGTACTTGATGCCGCAGGCGTAGACACCAAGAGCACCCAAGGGAGGCATGATATTGCTGGTTTTCTTGCTGTTGTTTCTCTTCTTCGAGTCAACAGACGCGGGTGTACTGTCGCTGTCTTCAGAAGAGCTCGATGTTGAAGGCACTGTACTTTGAGCAGACGAAGAGCCACGTAGTACAGGCCAAGTGTTTGATGGCTTTGCGGCAAGCCCGTCACCAACCACAGCGTTTTGCAGTGGTGATGGAGGAACGCTGTTCTCTGTAGCTCGGCTGAAAGGGGAGCTGAAGCTTCTNTGCCTGTAATTATTACCATTTTCTGCTAGATCTTGTGTTGTATGTTGCTGAGAAGCTGCCTTGACCTTGATCAGAATCTTGTTTTTGAGCTCTTCCGGAGATGGGAGTACAGATGCATTCTCAACCAGAGGTTTGATGAGTAAAGCGTCTCCGAAATAGAGCTTCATGATGTTGACCATATGCAGCTGTTGATCTACATTACAGTGAACCTCCAGTGAGATGATCAATGGATAGACTGAAGATGCGAATGCATAACGCGAGATGACAGCAATACAATCTTCAAACATGACTTCAGTGGTCAAGGTTCGACCATGATTGACAATGGGCAGACCATTCTTGCCATCCCAGCAGTCAATCTCAATACATCTGCAACCTTTGACGAGAGCTGAGATGTAGCCCTCTACACTGGACAGACCTGCAACCTGGCGGCCCATGAGGTATGTATTGTGAGAACTTGAGATGAAGTATTCATTGAGTGGACGATCAAGAGTAGGATCAGACTTGATTGAAGCTGTGGCTCCATTTGATCCGGAGGAGAGGAAGGTCTGGAAGGCCTGTAAATTCATGGTGGAGGGTACCTGCCGATCGGTAGCTTTTCCAGAAGCGCTTCGGCAATAAAGCTCGAACTTGCTTTCCCATGAAGCACGATCCTTTTCGACGTCAATATGTTGTTCATTGCGCAAAAACTCTAGGAAAGCCTCTTGGTTGAGTTCTGGCTCGTCTGAGCGCTTGATGCCGTAGTAGAGCGACTGGACGTCTTTGCGGGTTTTGAAGAGATTGACGAAGTATTGGTATTGAGAGTAATTGAGCTCACCAACCAGATCGAGGTCTGCATGATTGAAGTGCGTGCGGATGGTGTTGATGGAGCAGTTAATTTCGAGTTTGCGACAGATCCACTTTGCATCCTCGAAATCGACCTTTGGTTCGGCGTCGGGATTCTTGCGTGACGTGGCCTGTTTCCACGCCATTCTCATACTGCGCTCGCTCTTCTCGGGATTTGCTGATAGCGCATTCATGATCTCAATGCGCTCGCGTGATACGACGTTCAGCGCATCAGTCCAGAGCTTGACGATATAGTCGTTTGGGGCGATGAGATGCATGGTCTTGATTGAACTGCCCTTGGATCGTTCGTAGGCATCGTAAACAATGGTAATCCAGCATCGTTCTTGATCAGGGGGAATCTGGATGTCCTGGCGTGATGATTTCGCCTCGGCGCCGACTCGAATGTCGCGAACGTCGTCTATGTAGAATTGTTTGGAGGGATTTGATGGATTCCAGCACACTTTGGCAGCCAGGGGATCCAAACGGAATTTGAGGACCTTGCGCTTCTTCTTGGTGACCTTGGTAAGCCAGGTACCTTGCTCCAGCACGGATGAGATGGTCGGAGCAACACCGCCTTCGGCCATTGCTGCTGAAACCTTACGACTGGCAAGCAGGCCGAGTGATATTGACGACTCTGGAGGTGGGTAGGAGGTGACTGTGTCTTCGTTACCGTCCTCTGAAGTGCGTCCGAGATCGAGGTCGGACATGTCGCCAGCGAGGTCGGACTGGCCAGTGCTGTCGCTCCGTCTGCGCACTAGGACGGGACCAGCGCTTTGATCGCGGATGCGATTGGTCTGTGTGGTGGAGGGCCTTCGCCTGAGTCTGTTGTGGGCGCCGCGAGACAAACGTCGTATGAGACCAGTACCCTTGGACATGCCAAAAGCTTCGGTCATGGAGCTGTAAGACGAGGATACGTTCGTCGAGGGAGAGGCATAGTCGGACATGGCAGAAGGAGGCAGAGATATGGGAACGGCGCGGTCAACGGATCGTTGGTAGTGTGACATGTTCCATTGATCGCTTGGGCTGTTGGCGGCCGTCGAGACCTTGCTCAGAGAAGCAGCGGATGCTGGGGTGTAGGCCATGGCGGGGGTCGAGTTGTTGTAGGAAGGGGCGCTGGTGGGGATTGTTAAGGGTTGTGAAGCGGTATGAAAGCCATTGTGGATTGTGGTTGACGGCGAGTCTTGGGTGGAAGCGGCGGCGAGGTAGAACTGGGTCAGGCTCATGTCGAGGTCCTGGCGAGGCGGTGATGCATCTTCCAAGGACTGTCCTACTGTTGGCGGTGCGTGTGCGTGTTGGCAATGCGACGGGGCGTGCGCAGCTGCAGGTCGATCTCGCAAGATGACGCGCCTGTAGTTGGGAGATGGTAAGGCTGATGAGGCTTGACGAAAATAGTCTGCTCCAGGAGGCTGTGAGGCAATGCAGGTGTAAGGAACGTATGTCGGTCGCAAGGCCGTCGCGGGGGATCCTGACCGTCTCGACACAACAAAGCAAAGGCGGAAAGTAAGAGAGAGTTGAGACACAGGGCGGGAGGTGCTGGGTAAAGAGGAAAAGGAACGCGGTGGATCTCGAGATGGTTATTTGGCCTGCACTGGCGTCTGGCGCAAAAAGTGCCCCCGGCTAGTCCTGCCGCCAGCCGATCCAAGCACTAACACAAACACAATGTCATGATCTACTTCTCCCACGAACTAGCAGTACCGCGCCAGCCTGCCTGCTTCCTTCGAGAACGATTCGCATCATCTCCTGATACGAGCAACACGCCCCTTGGCGCTGCCTCCAAACTGCTGCGAAACATCTTGGGTGTCTCTCGGCACGCGAATGGTTGTGGTATTCCCGTCGCTAGCTAACTTTAGTCTGACAGGTCCACTAAAACACCAGAGAACCACTTGATCCCACGGCCCACGGAATCTCGTCCTCTGGGCAGTGACTCTCGTCATGCACACGGACTGCTGAAGCCTGCTGGCGGAGCCTTCTTGCCTGACTGTCAAGCCCTTGGTAGTCGCTTCCGCTCACGCCAGCATTGATTTGCGACTTGCGACAACCAACTCGCTCAATTCCCGCGACCAGGGCCCACGTAAGGTGACGGTAAGACGAAACTTGTATCCCATCTACTTTTCCCAGCGCCGGCCGCATCCGCTCCGAGCCCTGCCCTCATCATGCTGAAACACGCTCCAACACTGTTCATCGCAATCTGCCACCACCTTTCTTTTGATTGATTGGAAACTCCCCGCGTTCACGCCCGTATTAAATACATAACGGCTAGATAGCCGTGTCTCTCATGCTTGTCATCGTCCCAAGCCCACCAAGGTTGAGAACAACATCACCGTGCAGTCGCTCCGCAGCTTGGGCAAACTCGTTGGTTATCAGGATGGGCCTGATCTACTTGTTCCAAGGGGGTACACCTCGCGCCCGTTAGATACGAATCCATGTAGCTAAGCCCACCGCTCTCTGAATCCTTCAACGAGCCGGAGATTGGGAGACTTTGGGAGCATCCATACTCTAGACCCCTGCTGATTCTAATGTTTGGACAAGGCAAGGTCGGCAGATTTGCGATCCGAAACAGTTCTGCAGCTCGCGGCAATTACCTGCGCGAACGATGTCAGGATGTCAGGATGTCAGGCAACATCATCTCTTGTGGGGGGTGAGTATCAAGAGCAGGAGTATCAAACACTTCATGATTCGGCTTGACCTGCCTGCGCTCACGTTAGACGTCCTGTCGCATTAGCGTTACAGTGCTTGTGCATTCCACGCCACAGCCGTGCCTATGTTGACAAGGGGCTGGGCAGTCGACACGTGCATGAACAAGCACGTCGCCGTGATTTGTTTGAGGGGACCATGATTGCAGACATGTATAAAGACCTTGTCTTACCACGCCGAATTGTGCCGCGTGAACTGATCTATAGTGATATAGGCGTATGATAAGCATCCAGGGAACCATGTCTGACCGCTTGGAGCTTTTCTGACATGTCAAGAACTATTCCCGATCGTTGGTGACTCGAACAACACACAACCCCCCCCCCCCCCCCCCCCCCCACATGTCTTTCTCCGCAAGTGGCGTGCTTCTGACCGTTCACCTTGCAGCAACTAGCAATCCAGAAACGCGCTGTATGTCTCGCAGACGATGGAAGTCGTTCCAGCTGGAGTCGAAAACGTTTGCCGTGGCACCCTCCACCTCTGTAGCTACTCCTGAAAGCACGAGTCACCACACTCGTCTCCCCTTCTCTTCCTGTTTGATCATGATTTACACTCGTGAAGCGTCCGTCGGATCGTATCCTAGCACGAATTCCATCCATACTTGATCGTCGTGGCTGAGTCTTGGTACTTTCTCGCTTATCTCACCGCCTATCCGCTTCGACGTTCCTGTCTCGAGCAGACATGCGCGTGCTGTCGAGCAAGACGACTGCGGGGTGCTGCCACGAACACTGACCGGAAAGAACGGCTCATCATGAACCGCTGTCAAAGTAGGCAGAGCATTTGGCGAGGCTTGCGTCTGATATTGAGGTGCAGGATACCGGTCACTTTCCACCTGACCAACATCTACTTCGTCCTCGATGAACCTGAGCCAAGTATCATCCGTGTCTTCAAAGTCCTCGTGACTGAGACTTGTAGTATCATCTTGTGCAGGATTTCCAGAGATGTTCAAGTGCTTTGGTAGCTTGACCGGTGAGTCTTTCAATCGCTCAGCCGCATGTGGAATTCTTTGCATATCCTCGGCTGATGTGTTGTTCGGAGTATTTCCAGGGCTTGCGACAGCATGAACAGCTGATGAAGCATGTGTTGCAAAATCTGAGGGATACTGGGTATCATCCTGACTCCGCAAGATGTCCTCCATCGAATCACTCAAGGCAAACCGCATTCGTTCCGACATGCATGACGAGGTTAAGCTGTTGCCTTGATCTGGTCGGTAAGATTCACGATTGTCGGAGACTTTGGTCTGGGAGCCTAGCCGCTCGACCCCATCAAGGAGCATCGAGTTTGAGGAGTAATCTGAAGGAGATGTGGAGTGTGATCGAATCCTGGTCGAGGGACTAGCCACGGTCGTGTCGAGCTGACTTGCAAACGCTCTTTGACCTACCCGAACGTAGACATCACTGTTTCTGGATGGCAACACAAAGTCTCCCACAAGACGATGTTCATGGCCAGACACGGGCCATTTTTGTACCCGTGGAGAGAGCCTGTGTTGGGTGCGAGCTTTCTTGAATGGCGGAGAAGGTGGAGGTCGAGTTGGAGAGGTGTAGTTCCAGGATCTGGTTGAGGAACCGGTCCTGTTCGGAGCTTTGTTGCGGGCTTTGGCAAAGTGTGATTTCTGGCGTTCAATCACAGCGTTGCCTTTGCTCTTCGAGTTTCGTTGCAACTTGCCGCCTGTCCAATTCATCTTGCTTGATGATGGGGGTGAGCGATTGAGGTGAGGAAGACAATGCCCCCAGCACTGAAAGCTCCGTTCACATGTTTTCGGTGTTTAAGGAAGTTACATGGGTAGTCACTTCCAGATGTAGTTTGACATTGACAGCGTGCTCCTCCCTACCTAGCTCAGTCATCGTACTTACAGGTCACTCCAAGCGAGGGCAGAACGGAGCAAGAGCACGCAACTCACATATGCCGAGCAAGGGCTTCTTATGATTGCTCTCACAGACCAACAATCTCGTATGGATGCGGAAGCGGTTTCGATCAATTATTCAACGCCCTTACACGTGCATGCGATCTCAACGATTGTTACACTCAAACCGAGTCTTCTATACAAACACGGCATGAGAAGTGAGACCCGGTCTGTCATTGGCCCTACTTCCATTCGTCTTGATGCAATTTTTCAAGTACGGCATATCGACATGGAAATCGGTTGAGACAACAAAACACGGTCGGAGGAGGAACGCTGGCCGGCAACGTGGGAAAGCGCCACCATGTCGTCACAGAGATCGGGTTCGCGCTTGACGATTCAAGCACAAGTCAAACATCATCTGTACGCCATGCAAAACATCAACGACCATATGCGAGATTTGACATCCTTAGGGTCTATACACCTGGCTAGAGAAATGGTATAGCCTGATACCACCACGTCGAGACGTCGGACCCATACTCAGTTGAGCCGCACACATTCTGGTGAGCGTTGACTACCTATGGCAGCCCGCGCTAACTCGTCAGAGGCTTTTACGTTTAATCGCGCGGAGTCGGGCACTAAGTTCAACCAGAAGCACCAGGAACCCAAGGTGCTTTCTCGGTTTATATAGGCTGCAATGACGCTCGCTCTCTCCAAGGTTGTTGACACTCTCCTTCTTTTCCCCGCACGCGGTTCCCACATATTTCTCTCTCCCCGTCCTCCTCTGTGTTGTCCTTCGTACCAGTCACAACCACAATCAGAGTCACCATGAGCACTACCACAAAGTCCAACCCTCCCAGACCGCGCACCCTACGCAGGTTGTCCAGCGAGGATGCCACAGCAGACCTTCTTTCGCGTGGTCCCGCCATTGTCGTGCCTCCCCATCTCGTTGACCAGGAAGCCAACGACATTGCGGCTTCCATGGAATTGGCCAGACAAGAGATTGAAGCAATCACTCCTCTCGAGGATTCCGACACACCGAAAGAGTCGAGTGTCACCGACAGATATGCATACGCCTTCGATATCGATGGTGTTTTGATCCGTGGTGGACGTCCTATTCCCGAGGCTGTCGAAGCCATGAAGGTGCTCAACGGTCAAAATCAGTATGGAATCAAGATGTAAGTTCCGTCTTCTCAGAACAGCAGGTTTTCAATACTGACCTCTGCAGTCNCCTACATTTTCCTCACCAACGGTGGTGGCAAGACTGAGCAGGAGAGATGCATTCAGCTCAGCAAACAGCTCGACATTGAGGTCTCACCCGGTCAGTTCATTTGCGGCCACACACCCATGAAGGAGATGGCCGACAAGTACAACACCGTCCTCGTTATTGGTGGCGAGGGTGACAAGTGCCGTCAAGTCGCCGAGGGCTACGGCTTCAAGGACGTCGTCACTCCTGGAGACATCATCAAGCACAACCCCGACACGACACCTTTCCGTACCATGACCGCGGAGGATCTGAAGCACTCCCGTGATCGCGACTTCACCAACGTCAAGATTGAGGCCATTTTCGTCTTCGCCGACAGCCGCGATTGGGCTGGTGACCAACAGATCATTCTTGATCTCCTCATGTCCAAGGGTGGTGTCGTCGGCACCCGCTCCGAGACTCTGGACGAGGGTCCCCCTGTCTTCTTCTCCCACAACGATGTCATCTGGTCAGCATCTCACGAACACACCCGTCTCGGTATGGGTGCTCTCCGTGTCTCCCTCGAGGCTATGTACAAGGCCGTCACTGGCAAAGATCTAGAGACAGTTGCCTTCGGCAAGCCTCAGATTGGTACTTTCCAGTTCGCCACTCGTCTTCTACAGCACTGGCGCAAGTACACCCACGGTATTGACTCTCCACCGGAGACCATCTACTTCGTTGGTGACACTCCCGAGTCCGACATTCGCGGAACCAATGAGTTCAACAAGGTCGCCAAACAGAACTGGTACTCTATCTTGGTCGAGACTGGTGTATACCAACAGGGCACTACTCCTCGCTTCGAGCCCAAGGCCACCGTTCCCAACGTCTTGGACGCTGTCATGCACGGTATCGAGCGTGAACGCCAGAAGCAACTCCGCGAAATCATCGGCGTTACCAAGAGCCTGGAGGGATCTGCCATCTCGGACACCCCCAACCCTTCTCGTCCCTCGACTCCTCCCGGTACCAAGAACTGAGGAAATCTACCCCGATTCATGCCATGAACATCTTTCAACAATACCCTCATCATTAGTTTTATCGACTTGACGTTTTTCACATCGCATAGACTCGGCATAATGGTTTTGATCTGGCGCTGGCGCCCGTCTTTTCGCCTGCCATCCAACTTTCCACTCAAGACACTCCGTTGCAGGATACAGTTCTTGAAGAAAGAGAAGTACAAAATAATACAAAAGAAATATACAGTCTGGGTATACCAGATATATAAAGCTAGATAAAGCAATAAATACATGACAATGTCTTCTTTGAAGCTGCCTGCCCCCTTGCATATTTGCATTCTTTGCCTACCGACTACGCCTACACTGCATGCTTCGCCATCATTCTTGAATGACTGTTGGGCCCGGCAATCGAGTCGTCAGCTCAGTAGGATTTACGATCGAGACATTCAGCTGTGCTATTACGAAACAGAAGACAGATACCGGTTATGGGTTTGCGAGTCATGTATGTCAGGTTGCGGTAAATTGAGCGCTATCAGTCTCCGAGTAGCAAGGGATATCTGGAGAAAGACAATGGCTAATTGGCTGTAGTGGTATGCGCTTAACCTTATGTTGTTTCATACTTCTGCGAGCGGATTCTCCTTGTTTGCGCTCATTTCGGTCATGGTAAAGTTGTGGAGAGCAGAAAGAGCAAAGAGCGAGGGTGATGGTGTTATATGCTTGGAGATGGACGTGCAGTCAGAGCATGCGGACGGCCAGAGTCGGGCGCATGCAAGCAACAGCAGAGATTATGGGAACGCGAGAGCATGATAGCACACGAGTGAATGCATAGTCGAATTCCTGGTGTTGGTGGCAGAATATCAAGAAGGAAAGAGCATTCGGCGGTCATGCAGGCGCATCATGAGCGCGACTGCCATGATGTCACCAAGCTCATATGAGCCTCTCGACACTTTCTACAGTCCACAACTCACCACGACCTTCGACATCGCCCTTCTTCTTTCTAGTATTCTACAATTCATAATCAATACCAGCATCTATATCCTCTACACATGTCGACCTCACACCTAAGCTCCGAGCAGAGCAGTGCTCTGTTCGACCTGTTGACCCATCACGCAACTTACGACGAGATCTGCCACTTCAAGTCACCCACCGCCATCAAACAATACGGCCCGCCCTTCCAAGACTCCAAGACCACATCTTCGCCCATCCTACAATCTCTGCTCTCCAAATTCATCCTCCCTCTACCAGGCCTCCACGACGTCTCGCCCGACTTCTGGAAAGTCCGAGTCGAAAACATAATCGAAGAGTTGGCACAAGCAAACCTGAGTGAGAGTTATGACAAGGGTCTCTTGGGCATAAGGAAGACGTTGGCTACTGCCATCTCGGCTTTGATAGAGTACCCCGCCAGAGGTTGCTATGGTGGCATCAAGAAGGACGAGTCGGCTCTCAAAGATCAGCACTTTGATCCCACCAAGCCCGACGATGTGCTGCGCGCGTGGTATGTCTTTATGCAGCAGCTGGTCTATGGTGACCTGTTCGACAAGCTGTTCGCCAAGGCTGCAGAGACCGACGACCTGCGCAAGCATGACAGTCTCGTCCAAGCAGCTCACGAGTTTGTTGTCGTCAATCTCGCGTCTTTCATGCATTACACCCTTGTTGTTAGTCCCGAGGGTCCGTCATTACTTCGCATGGTCGAGAACGTCCACAAGCTGTAAGTCTATGGAAGTCCTATTGCTCTCGAATCTTACTGACCTGACAACTTCAGTGCACCTTACACTTTGATGAGACAGACGCTGCGTGTTGGCAATGTTGCCACCATGATTAATGGCATGGTCAAGTTGATGCTTGCCAAGGTCAGTGTCGGTACTCTGACCAACTGGATGGGTATCAGCAGCGGCGCAGATGAAGGCATGAACTTGATGCAACAGATCATATCCACCGTCCTTGGCTGGGACAAAAAGGAGCTCAAGAAGCGACTGGACAAGATTGAAAAAGACAAGGATGCACCATCTCAAGACCAGCGCGAAGCACTGAAGGACTGGATGGAACAAAGCCGACCAGAGCAAGAAGAATGCCGCAGACGAAGCCAGGAGCAGTCTATGTCGATCGTCTCGACCATTCTATCCTTGTCTTCAGCGAGTCCGGATCTCAACGAGAAACAACATAAACTTGCCCTCGAGTACTTGTCTTTGAGTCTGGCTGTGCGAGACAGAAACAAGATTATCGATGTTCTCTGTCATCACAGTCCCGATCATCTCACCCAAGCCGTACGCGACGGCGTAGCTGCTTACGAGCCCATGATCAGACAAGTTCACCAAGCTGTTGACCTCAGCGCCACTGTCGCAGATTTCCAGGCCTTCATGGATGAAATGATTAAGGTAGCCAAGCCGAAAAAGGACGGCAAGCCTCCCAGCGTCGAAGACTTTGTACACCTCTTGCACAGTCACATGGGTGCCTCGCATCGTTTCATCCACCAAGTTGCCAAGAACGGAAAAGAAGTAACCCAATGGTTCAAGGATTACGTCCACAAGGTTACCGCCAACTTCAAGCAAGAACATGCCTCCCCCTCAATCTACGACTCCCTCTCCACAGCCTTTGACGGACTCCAAGNNCCCGACGAGCAAGACAAGGTCCGCAAAGAAGTCGATGCCTCGGCAGAATACCTCGACGAACTATACGCATCATCCGCAGCTAGGATCAGCGACGTGATCAGCAACAAATCCTCGACGCCATACGGACCCGGAGCCTATCTGGCTAGATGGCAGGAACTGCTCGACTCGACGCTGGTGACACCCGAGACGGCCAAGGGACCCGTTCGCAAGGGCGCCAGTGCTAGTGTCAAGCAAGAGGCCAGAAGGGATGTCGATGGCGAGATCAAGGAGTCTGGTGTTGATCTCAAGCAGGCGGACAAGGTTGTCAAGGACAAGACTCCTGACGCGCCGTCGGCGGAGATGACGATTAAGCTTTTGGGACCGAAGTTCAGGGAGTTGTTGTTGGCTGCTAAGTAGTCTGTGCCTTGGTGTGACCATCGTGATGGCCACAAAGGTGGTTACGATGAGATGATGAGCATTGCTATATTCTTGTTGCCTATAAAAGATACCCCTTCTTTTTTAACTCAATTATACATATGAACCGATATTCATATCACCTTTGACCCAACTTGCCCCCACTTTTTTTTTTTGTGAATCATCTCCATAATGATATCTGCTCGCCTTCTCACTCGCCAAAACAAAAATAAAAAAGATTCATGCGGGTTTCCATCAGCTGTTTTGGGATATTTTACTCAAAGTATCGGTTGAGCTTGGTGTGACCCTGGCATGTATACCATACACCTCGACAACACCTCCTTCTTACCATCTGTACTAAGAATCTTTACTATATACTATAGAAAGTATTAATATAGATATTGTACATTTAGTAGGTATATAAGACACATGAGAAACTATGCTCAGAAGTATTTATCGAAGCTTCTTTTCCAAAATGCTTTCTCTATTTCATGTGTGTAGTGACACATGCAACTATAACTACACACACGCACATGTATGATAGTATTAAAAATAAAACAACGATGAAATATAGCTTTAGAACGACGAGTATGTCCTGGTATACAAACAACGCATATTAGCATAAAAAGTGAGCAATGTATTGTTAGAGGATATTGGGTTTTTTCGAGAAGAAAACAGCAGTGCACTCGAGATGCTTTGATCGCGGAACAAGCTGAAAAACAAGCAGTAGTTGTTACGGGCAAAATCAGAACTCTGGTCGTAGAGATTGAGAATGATGAGGAAATGGCACGAGTGAAATATGACGGAGAGAAGGAATGTATATTTCCATACAAAACTACCAAGAAAACAACAGTAGACAGTTGATGATATGCGTCAAAAGTCCAAAAAAGAAACAGCACTCATCAAAAACCTTTTTGCCGGCAAAGTTGTTCAAAAGCAAAGAAGCGAGAATTGAAAAGCATGGAACGATGAAGAGAAAATGATGCCATATCATTTGGCATATTTCGAAATTTGCAAAACGAAAGAGAGCGAAAAATCCAGACACACACATCAGAAAAGACGCCTCCCTAGTTCTTAACCACCCTGAGACGAAGAAGTTTGTGGTAGACTCCAAAAAGAAAACACAAAAACGCCCGATATGCCTTTGCTTGCCCAACCCCGAGTTTGAATCTCCAAAGACTTCCAGTGAAAACGCGACGAGAAAGGAAAGTGGTCTAGTAGTGAAAAAAGAAAGAAGAGAAAAGAAAATGAAAGATCCCGCTGGCCCAATTACCCCTTTATAGTGTCCCAGAGGTATCACGCTTGTTTCCCAAAAATTGTTAAAAACTCCCATAGGCTCCTTGTTGCCCATTACATGCTAGTTCGTACTACATGCCTCATAGCGAGAGCGGTGAAACACCCTTGAGAAGCTCGACACCAGGCATGACTTGGCCAGCAGCGTCACGACCAAAGTCAATCATGAGGATGCGACCATCCTGACTTGTCGAGACGATGCGGCGGTAATCACACTTAGCCGCCAACATCCAAGAGGTGGTCCACTCGTTGAAGCGGCCGAGGAGAGCACCAGTGTCGTAGTCATACACGCGCAAGTCCAAGTCGTAAGACCCGCTGACGACGCGACGGTTCTGAGTGTCGAGGAAAAGCGAACGCACCAGCTGAGTGTGACCAGTGAACTGCTTGACCTCTTCTCCGGAAGCGACGTCGAACTTGTACGTGACGTGGTCGTTACCGCCAGCAAGGACAAACTTTGCGTCATCGCTGAACTCGACGGCAGCGAGACCACGCTCCTTTGGGGGAATNTCACGGACGCATTGCATCTTGTTCAAGTCCCACAGACGAGCGACACCGTCGCCCGAAGCAGAAACCAGAAGATTACCACGGAGCTGAACAGCGTTGACGGGACCGCGGTGACCAGTGAGGGTACGAATGGGCTCGAGAGTCTTGCGGTCCCAAACAATGATGGTGCAGTCCTTGGAGCAAGAAACTATGTGCTTCTCGTCGAACGCAACGTCCAAG